TTTGTTTGATCAACACCTCTGCAAAGGCATGATATGTTTTCCGCTAGATGGACATAGTTGTCCATTTTTTAGAGCTGTTTCAAAGTTTCTGTGTGTCTTTCGCGGTGATGGCTGCACTATCCCAGCCTTTTTCGACGTAGCTTGTTGGCCTCCCAAATGAGCTTACAAATCACCGAATGGTCAGGTCTTCATCGTGACACCTGTCGAACAGATGCGTTAAAGAGACTTCTTCCACTACATGGCATTTATGTAGTGTTTTTTTTCCGGAGCAGCTACAAGTGACGTCACAACTTTGTGGTAGGACACCTGCTTGCCACGCGAACGGCCCGGGTTCGATCCTCAACAGAACCTAAACTTTATTCTTTATTTTATTTGCTTCTTTCTCGATATTTTGCTCAAGAACAATTTTTCGCTCACAACCAACGATTCCGACACCGACGGCGGAATTTCTGCGACACGAGCTCTCTAACGCTATCGCGTTAAAAGTAGTACCCCAAACGTTTTTAATACGCGTCCAATACTCTTCCAAATGAGCTACGGTGGCTTTAAAGGGTTGTGGGAGCACGGCCCACTGCTAGCGGCGCCGGCGCTAACGTGCTGACAGGGTCACATTGTCTCAGCTGCTCCATCGGCTATTTGTGGAGCACTGCCACCTAGTTTGAATACGAGTTTTGAAGAACCACCTGTGTGGCGGTATATTTGGATACGGATGTTTTCATGCATTTTTGACGCATAAGAAGCCACATTAGTAGGAGCGCCCGCCTACAAAGGCAACGAATAATGTGCCCTATACTGGTTTGCGCCGCGGTGCACGACGTCGGCAACGGAGCGCAGCGCCAGCCGGCACCGGTAACCGTCGAAAAAAGAAACTGCGTGACGCGTGTGTTGTGAAGTGGACAACCGGCAAGTAGCTGTCGCCAACGGGTCGTGTGTGCAACAAGCACTTCCGCTCCGAAGACTGCGTCAGGGCTACTGGTGTTCGGTGAGCATAGCAGTAAGCGCGCACTGAGACGATGGTTCACACTCGCTTTTCGCTGGTTGACGGTGCTTATTTCCTGCCGGACGAAAAAAAAAACGCTACCTTTACCAGAGTGCGATACCATCTCAGAAGTTCCCTGAGAAGTCGCCTAATTGTCACTCCCAGCACTCAGCGTTCCCAAAATCAGCAGCATGCACTTGTCATTGTTCAGATTAAAAAGTGACAGGCTCCCTTACGCATTTCCGTAAGATGTCTATTCTTCTTCTTGTTGTTGTACTTGTTCTTCTCTTTAGTCGATGTATTGAAGCTCCCAGGCCCCTCCAAATACCTTCCACGCCTAACGCTGTCCTACTACCTCCTTTACCGGCCCACTGGTCTCGGAGGCACTGTAAAGCGACCATGCCGTGTGAGCACTGTTATGAGGCGTTACGCCAACACGGTCCCGAAGGCGCCACTGCTCCGAAACTCGCCGCTGCCAAGGTCACTTGCTGTTTGGTAGCGTGTGTTTCTCAGCTCGCGACTGCTTCTGCGCAGAGCTGATAGACGAGCCGACAAGACTACGGTGAGTTAGGGCAAGGTTTATGTGCCGCATAAAAACAGAGGCGGTACATAGTTGGCACTGGGGCCGACAGCTTAGGGACTCGAACAGCCGAGATTTCTTCTCTGAGGCATATGTCGGCTTCTCTGTGATGCATAGGTATGCTGCTTGGCGAAGCGCCACGCGGTTCTTTATAGACCCCAGGTGGTCTTTTACGTCATCAACGTCCAATCATAACTGCCGCCAGATCGCGTCAGAATCCTCCAATGGGAACCCGCCGCTCGGTTGCGTCGTGATCCTCAAATCCGAGCTCGCTGCGCTGGGTTGCACCCAAGGACGAGTGATGTTGCCACGCATTGTGTAAGACTCGCCAGACTGGATGGGGCCGCTTGCATGACGTCGTTGAGATGATGGCGGCAGGCTGGCTCACTCGCTGGTCTTGAGACAGATTGCCTTTGCAAAGGGAATGACGTTCGGTGTGGACTCTCAGGTATAACAACACGGCATCATGTGACGCCACCTTATAGGCCATACAACTCATGACCTGTTGAATTTTTTTGTACTGGAGACAAAATCACTGCCATTCTCAAAACCATTGTCTACTGTCCACCACTTCACAACCATTTGTACCTAAATGTTGCCTTCTTTATAGTTATTGGACCAGTGGTCACCAGTGGCATGTAACCAATTTCTGTGGCACATATCCTCTCATGATGATATTATTTTTCCGGTAGGCAGAACTAGCACATGCCGTTTTATGATAACCATCCCCCAAATTACGGCTAGCTTAAACAACTTCAATGTTCAAACTCGTACGTCGTTCATGGTGCCTACTTGTTAGCTGAAATATTACATAGTATTATTTATCATACCGTCATACCATGGCCCGTGGAATGTGCATATACGCTACTAGGGATTCAGGGTATAAACCAAGTAGAGTCAGCATATATTTCAGAAACCTTAGTGCGACATATTTATAGAGCCTGTGCTTCTGAAAATCATATGCCGCATTCGGTGACACTGTCGATGATAGAAAACTTTCCCCGAAAGCAACAAAAGATAGCTCGTGGTTTCAGTCGTAATTGAACCCAAGTATTCTGCAGTGCACTTGAAGTTGTAAAAGAGTACGTCTACATAGAAGCTAAAGTAACCTCGGAGCCGAGCCACGAGATTAAAGTAACTGGAACAATAAGAATGGGGTGGAGTACATTCGGCAAGCATTCTCAAATCATGACTGATAGATTGCCACTATCCCTCAAGAGGAAGGTATATAACAGCTACATGTTACCTGTACTTACCTACGGAGCAGAAACCTAGAGGATATATAGGCCTATAAAGAGGCTTCAGCTTGAGTTGAGGAGGAAGCACCTAGCGAAGGAAAGGAAAACGGTAGGTGTAATCCTAAATGATAAGAAGAGAGCAGAGTGGGTCAGAGAACCAACGTATGTTAAGGACATTACAGTCGAAATCAAGAAGAAACGGTCATGGCCAGGGCACGTACATCAATAACAAGATAACCACTGGTCATTAAGGATCACAGACTTGATTCCAAGAGAAGGCAAGCGGTGTAGGCGAAGACAGAAAGGTATACGTGGGCAGACGATATTATGAAGTATGCGTGTATTAGGTGCCATGGTAGCAATCACAGTGCCGAGTTGACTTACAAAACATGGGAGAGGCCTTTTTCCTGTAGTGGACGTAGCTGATGATGATGATGATGATGATGATGATGGTGGTGGTGGTGATGATGATGATGGTGGTGGTGATGATGATGGTGATGATGATGATGGTGATGGTGATGATGATGATGATGATGATGATGATGATGATGATGATGATGATGATGATGATGATGATGATGATGATGATGATGATGACAGTGCATAACAGTCAAGTATGGTACGACAAAATCACGCCACTACTTTACATTTCTTTAGGATAAGACCCTAGAAAGGCATCCTGTCAAGGCAGCTCGTATTGTGGTGGCAGTGCTGGCTTTTAAAACAACGCGATGAGTTTTACTCATCTATTGCTGTACCTCAGCAAAGTTTAGTCAAACATTATTCTTACGTGCCGAGGATGACTGCTTAAATAGTTCATATCATCGCACCACAGCGCGCAAATCATTGCGAAATAAGCGACGTCTTCGCTGAGACTTGAGTGACAATGTTGCATGAGACCATGAGCTGCCCTTCGCACACCCGTGTAATCGACGTGCGGGCAAGTGAACATCACGCACAAAATTACTCAGTTTAAACAAAGGCATCCACACACCGCGTGACGTTAGCCCTCGACGCAGGAAATGCCATACAGGCGGCTACTCGTTGAATGCTTCGTAGGCATCGATTCCCGCAATGCGTGGAATCCACCAATTTCGTTTTTCAGTTGTGGCCTTGAATAAGCTGAATCGATTTGTCGAAACGTTGTCTCCAGGAACATCCGGTGTTAACGAATTTTCCCTAAATTTTCGTTTATGAATAACTCTCACTAGTTCCACTTCTCCATTTCTGCCGGATAGCGTACCGTTAAGTCTACAGGGAGCTGCAAAAGGGGAACTAAATCCGTTCCTCCCGCCATCTCCCTTCTAAGTAGTAGCAATGACATTTGGGGTTTACCCTTCCAAAACCGTGTAGCTATAAGTTGATCTGGCACGCCATAGTGAAGGGCTCCGGAAATTTCGACTATCTGGTGTCCTTTACCGTCTACTGACATCGCACAGTACACGGGCCTCCACTATTCAGCCTCAATAGAGAAATGCGACTGCCGCGGCAGGGGTCGAACCCGTGACCTTCGGGTCTGCATCCGAGCACCGTAAATGGGACACTGCCGCCATAGAGTTTCCTATAACTAACTAGAGGGGACTCTGACGCTGCGATCGTTCAGCGACCATGGGATTGAGGGGTAGTATACGGATTTGCATAGTCTTCGTACTTATGGACGGCGAATCGCACTTGTGGCTTCGTTTATTGTTGTGTTTTGGTCGTGTTTTAAAGGAATGAACGAACCCTCTTGAACTTCGTGACTCAATTTGGAAAGGTAAGTCCCAAAGAATAAGGTGGTGAAGCGCAACCACTGAACATTTGCTGATTTCTGTTTTGTGAGACAACAGTCCCAAGCCACGCGAACACACACGGAGCCAGAAGTACGAATATTAGAGAATCCTTGTACTACCCATCATTCCCATGCTCGCTGAAGCGCCGTGCGTTGCAGCTGCCGTAGACACTAGCGCCAGAGTTCCCTCAAATGCATGTTTAGGAAACTGTATGACTACCGAGGAAAACACTATATTTCTGAAGTGAATAGAAGCAGCGCACTAGAGTACTGGGTGAGTGGTAATATATATTCTGAAGCGCGTGACCGTGGATTTGAACCTGCGAAACAGCACTCCGAAGCAGGCAGCGTTGAAAGACTCGGCGACGTAGCGTACGTCCACCAACCGTCTCAATCCTCCATTGCCACCAAAGAAGTCATGCATGCTGTAGGTGTGTTGATGATATGGCATTTTATTTCATGCATGATAGTAAAACAGACACGTATCGGTTTCGAAAATGAACATGTCGATGATCGCATTTATCTACACACATCACACAAAGCATGCATAGTTATACGGCTGAGACAAACCAAGCACTTTGCCCAGTTTTAAATGTTCATGATCCCGGTGTAATCATCGGTAATTTAGTGGAATTGATAACAACTAGGAAACATATCTGTGGTTACTTGTTAGGTATACGCTTCAATACTGTCTTGTTAACTTACCATGTAAACAATTTATTCTACAATGCACGATTTTTGAAGGGGTTGTGTATTCCTGTATGCGTTAAAGAACAAAGACTTGTTGCTCATCTTTAGATGAACTAATAGTCGAATGTGTACGCTTTCTTTTTTTTAGACAAAGAAAATATACGGCTTTTGATTACGAGACTGATTTCTAACGAACGTTTTGATAATACGTAGCAGGGTCTGTCTTCTTTAAATGAAAAATCAATCATCATTATAATGCCACCAAGCGACGGAATTCTAACGTGCGAAATCCTACGCAGCATACACGCGCTCACACTCCGGATGAGTTATGATCACCGCGATAAAAACAAAGCAGACCTTTTACGAAAAACGCATCTCTAGGAGGAAAGCGCTACCTGTAAACTTTCGAGCGTCAAGTTCCCGTTCACGGAGAGTCCTTGCTTGCCAGCGCCACCTCTGAGATGTTTTTCTGATCACCTCGACCGCGCACGTCGGGCGCGCCATCTTGGAGATAGCGGCGCAACGCCACAGGTCACAACGCGTCTGAGAGGTGGCGCTTCTCGTATTTAAAGCTGCAACACACATTACGGAGCTCGCTCTTGGATGGGTCTTCGTGCCCGCTTTGTTGTTGCTCCGCATCGTTAAAGGCACGATGGCACAACCTTTCAGGGGTAGGTCTGCACGCGCAAACTAGTCTGCCTAAAATGCATTCGCAAATCACCAACAGTAATGGTTGTCATGGTGGTACGCAAGAACATTTGCATTTTTGACTGTGGTTGACCTGAATTTCTTGCCAGCTCCTATTTCCCTTTATTCGTGATTTCCTGTGTTAAAAAATTAGGCCCTTCAGCACCGAACATATCCTTCAACATTCATATCCTGTGCGCTTGTGTACAAGGGACGTCCCATCGTTACCAAAAACGCAGGAATTTTCTACTGCGACTAAGTGGTAGTCTGATTATACTCGACAAGGAATAATCGGCTAGCTGAGACTATCCAGCATCCACAGCGCCGAAGCGCCCGTTCAGGAACATTACAAACGTTGTCGCAGCTCTTGCAGTGCATGCCAGCATGACACGCCCTTATCCGAGGTGGCATATGATAGTAGACAGATTTAGTTGCGCGTCCGCATCAGTCATACGGACGCAGCCTGCTAGCCATTTTCATTGACAGGCCACGTCCGCACGGCTGCTGCGTACGCGCAACTAACTCTGTGTAATGTCTACAACTGCTAGGTCTATGCGTATAGATACACTAAAGAGCGACGATGTCTAGCCGAGCTTGCTTGCGATGACGGCCAGAGGCTCGATGAATCCCTTGTCGCGTGCCTTCGCGTCATCTTTGGTGGGCAAGACGGGCAGGGCCTCGCAGGCGCCCGTGCCCTTCTTGTACTTGTTGCAGGCCAGGCTGAGCACCTCACCGAAAACGTGGTCGATGATGTCGTTGAAAAACTTCTTGGCGGCAGGCAGTGTGCAGCCTCTGGTCAGAGCGCTCTCAGCACATTCCACGAAGTCGTGGTAATAGCTGCGAAAGGAAGATTCGAAAAATGACAAAAGGCACGGTGCGTTGAGACAAAATAATAATAATGATGATAAAACAGGCAAACGCCTTGCTTACAATAACAAAGCACTGAACATATCGATGCTTCGGGGACTCTGCGAGTGCCTCGTTTCCAAGGCCGTGAGCGTAAGGTATTCGTATTTTCATGAAGTATGGTTGAAATACATTTTATGATTATAAAAAAAACATGTCTACGCCAGTCGTTTCTACCAAACTTGTAAAGTATTTTTCCCGTATGCAGTTATCCACTGCAGCAATCTTGCTACATATAATGTACTTTCCCACGAGGGTACGCACGTGCTGCTATAAAAATTGTAAGAGAAGTACACGCGCTGCAACGCCTGTTAATGCGGTGCTTTCCAAACATTTCTCCACACTTCTCACAAACAATGAAAATATTTTAAGGCATGCCCTGTGGCTATTCGATCTGGTCTTTGAACAAAAATGTGTCAACGCGACACACCCTCTTGCTATTTATTCAGGCTTTTAAATTAAAATATGTGAACACGGCACATTGTCTGGCTATTCGATCTGGCTTTTAAACAAAAATATGTCAACATGCCACGCCCTCTGGCTATTCAATCTGGCGTTTAGATCCGCCTCAAGGCAATAGATTTTGATGCGGAAGCAATGCTTAATTTATGGTAACGTATCTGCTAATTCCTAGTGGTAATGGAAACTGGCAACCACGCGTTTGTAGCACCAAGCCACAAAAAAAAAGGCTACGCGGATTTCTCGAAAAGAAAGTTTGCAATAGCTAGCTGCCTGATCTGCTCGATTGATGGAGCGACCATTGCGCAAAAGAAATATATCCCGGGTCGCATCGCCGAAAAACTTTTTTTAGAAACGTCTATGTGCAATCGTGCTCAAGAAACGTGAGGTTGTCAGCTACCCTTTCTCAAGCCTTGCACTACCTCGCGGGATTTAGCAAAAAAAAAATCAATTCACTGTACTCATTCTTATAGTGAATATAGACACGCAAATAAACCACCTTGTACTACACAGAATGAACGATGTTGTGAGGTGACTTGTGACGAGAAGATCATAGATCCAAATTACTTCATGATTGCGTGCAGTCTAACCCCCGTATTCCAGAACGTCCCTTCGCTCAACCCTTCACCTTGACTTGAGAAAATTGATTGCAGCGCCGTCTCTAGGCAGAGTAAGTCGCCCAATATCAGGGATAATTTGCAGCCATTCTCGAGAAACGCAGCATCATTTTTTAGACAAGCGGCAGCGCTCTGCTCAGATCGTTCAAGTGAAGGACAAGATACGAGTTGAGGAGCATTCGTAGATACGGAGGTAAAACACCAGTGCTAACCTGTCATATGGAATTCCGTCTATCGGCGCAGGAGTTAGGTATGAATGAGGTCCAACGCGAACTCGCGACAAGGACATAATGTAGGAGAACCAAGGAGCGCCCACCTGCTCAACTACTTTATCGCAGGTTCAGGGGAAGGACAAACGGCAGACGAAGACTAGTGTGTTTTCTCCCTGTCCTGAGTTCATGCTAAACCAGTAGTCATGACCTACCAGCTAGCCCTATCGCTGCCACTCTTCCGTACAGGCTGTGGTTTGAACATGCGCTATCCTTATTTCTATTTTCCCTTACTAAGGTAATCTAAACAGGTGTCTTGCCGCTCACCAACAGGAATATGGAATCTGCTGACGGTCGGGGGCCTTGGAAGCACGGTGCATGGCAACAAACATGTCGGCCATGCACGTCTGGACTCCAGGACCAGCCTTGTTGATGCACTTTATGCTGTCCAGGTATTCTGCGGTGCAAGCAAAGCAGAAAGCGAATATGACGAAAAGCAGGCAAAACGAGGGCCTGGTCTTCTTAAACTGTACACGAGCTTAGTTGGTTAGTCCGCTGAGTTTCTACGAACACAAAACCACTCCCTGTACTTTATTTTTGTCTGGTGCTGCTACCTATTACCTTGCTACAATTCACTGAACATTCTATATCGCTTGAAGGCATGAAATAGGGTGTCTCCTACTTTTTTTTCATTGATATGACTGCACTAAACCAAATGAGTTAAAGGCTACTATCGTAAGATAGTAGCCTTTAACTAAGCAAAAAGAAATTGGAATCTTAGCTGCCAATTCATTATCATTCTTAAACAAACCACTCCGCCATTCTGTCGTTAAAAGATGGCAACCCTCCGGCGACTATAATTTAAAGTCACTCATTTCATGATGATTTTAATAAATGTAAACGCTTTCACGGTCAGCCATCACAGCTTTTCCACTGCACACAATGACACTTTGGTTTTGAATGAGCGTCTTCATTCCCTTTTTTGTTTTCAAGCTTTCCATGGTACACATTACTTGATGATTTTTTGGAGCAATACGGATCCCGTTGAAACAATATTAGGCAATATGCACAGTACGTTTTTGGGCTAATTCTGTGTCATCGCTGTAATAACAGTAAATTTATCAAAAATGAACAATCAATAGCCTTCTTGGGATTAAAATAATGCAGTCAGGCTTAACATTTCATCATCGTGGCGTTCCATCTCAGTATGCATTACCTGCAGAAATAATCTACATTGCAGTAGGCGTAATTCTTTTCCCGAGTCCGCTAATTTCAAGTCTCTTGATTCCTTGGCCGCAATTAACAAAACTTTTTCGTTGTAACTGTTTTTTGCCGTTAACCTGTGCCTTCGCAAGTGATAGGTTGTGTACCAGTCACGTTCACACATGCGTTGTGAGTTTCCTGTCCATCTATTACTTGTGTAATGGGAGTATTCTAGCTTATCCAATAGGCTACTGCCATATAAAGCATTGAACAAATAATTCACAGACTATTGGTACGACAATGTTAAGCTAATTTACATGACATTTCTAAAAAGGGCAGAAGAAACTACGATTTCCAACAATACAAGCTGGCACATAGGCTGTGGTGGCTGCATTTCCGATGGAGGCGGAAATGTTGTAGGCCCATGTACTTAGATTTGGGTGCACGTTAAAGAACCCCAGGTGGTCAAAATTTCCGGAACCCTCCACTACGGCGTCTCTCATAATCAAATAGTGGTTTTGGGACGTTAAACCCCACAAATCAATCAATCAATCAATCAAGCTGGCACATACATAATGTAGGGATCCAGGCACCAAATAGAATGCTTTCGATAAGAATATATTAACGTTATGGCTCCCTTACAGCAGTCTCACCCACAATCAAAACTTCGCCACTACTGTCTTCGCCACGGCATGAGGAGCAGCTAGATGAGGAGCAGCTAGGAGCAGCTAGATGTCGTAAACCGCGTACATGGCATGCTAATGTGTATAATGACCTTTGTGCTTCGGGTTCGTGGTGTTGCAGAACATGCCGTACTCATCGACGGCTGCCCTGAGCATAAGGAGGATGACGCCCTTGGGCAGGCCATCCAAGCACTTGACGGCAAAGTCTTCACCGCATTTAAGTTGTCTCCTGAACAACCTGAAAAGATGACAGAAAACACTGTGTAAACACCGTGCTTACCTAGATCAAGTACGAAAGCATAATTCACAAAGTTCGGGGTCTATGTAGGCAGTTCAAAAACGCACTCGGTAGCACGAGTGAATTCCGATGTCCCACCCTGCGTGCATCCGGTTCCATCGTAGCTATCATTACACAGTCAGTTCTGCTCGAGTTAATTACAACTCCCCTCTAATATTTGTAGACTCTGAGGGTATTATAGATAGATAGATAGATAGATAGATAGATAGATAGATAGATAGATAGATAGATAGATAGATAGATAGATAGATAGATAGATAGATAGATAGATAGATAGATAGATAGATAGATAGATAGATAGATAGATAGATGGATAGATAGATAGATAGATAGATAGATAGATAGATAGATAGATAGATAGATAGATAGATAGATAGATAGATAGATAGATAGATAGATAGATAGATAGATAGATAGATAGATAGATAGATAGATAGATAGACAGACAGACAGACAGACAGACAGACAGACAGACAGACAGACAGACAGACAGACAGACAGACAGACAGACAGACAGATAGATAGATAGATAGATAGATAGATAGATAGATAGATAGATAGATAGATAGATAGATAGATGTAAAGATAGATAGATAGATAGATGTAAAGATAGATAGATAGATAGATAGATAGATAGATAGATAGATAGATAGATAGATAGATAGATAGATAGATAGATAGATAGATAGATAGATAGATAGATAGATAGATAGATAGATAGATAGATAGATAGATAGATAGATAGATAGATAGATAGATAGATAGATAGATAGATAGATAGATAGATAGATAGATAGATAGATAGATAGATAGATAGCGCATTACACTCATTCCACCGTGTCCCTTCGTGGTGCTCCCTGTATTTCGAGCATCACTGCTGCCAAAACTAGAGTCGACAGTGACGTGCAGCTCTAACTGTGACGTTACACATGCCGTTTCTGCTTGGGTCATGTGACTTCATTTCGAAGGCTGTACCTGCAGTGTTCACAATGAAACATACCCTAGCAGTGCCCGGGACTGCCCACGTGCTGTTCATTCTTGTCCTACGTTCTCTTGCGAGCGCTCCAAGCGCAAGCTTCGATACGAACCATTCACAGCTGCCAGATATCAACGCAGAAGCCTGAATTGGCACTTACAGACCTTCAGGCAAGCACCGAGAGATTTTTTTTTTTTTTTCGGATCAGAATACTTACGTGCACTGTGTTGCCAGGGTCTTGGCATCGTCAGCTAGCTTTGACGTGAGGAAGTAGGGTACGAAGTCGTATCCGCATTTCTCTGCTTCTGGAGTCGTGCATCCGGCAAGATCCTTGTACAGTGCGGCACTGTACACGCCTGAAAGAAGAATGACGAAAAATATTATAGGCTTAATTATGTATAGTCTGTGCACTCATATACTAACCATTCCACTTTCGCCAGTGAGCCCCCCCCCCCCCCCTTACCCGCGCTGATTACAATAGTTCAATTTATGAAATCAAGTTCTGGCAAAGCTTGCACCTTTACCAACAATCTTTCTCTAGTATGATCCCCCCCCCCCCCGCCAAGTGATTATGCTGCTTGTTAAAAATCATAATTGAGCACCACTATCTGCCATATAATGACCACATGCCCGCATTGTATTGACTATAAAAGTGAAAACCCCTTTCTAAACAAGGCGCTGTCAATATTTTGCTTTGCTCGTGGAAACGGAAAACACCACTTTTTCGACCTTGACGGCGCAGTTTCCTATTTTGTTTCCATGTCTTTGTTCTCTAGCCTGCCTTTTGTGTGGAAATCAGGGTGGTTATTTAGCGCTCAAAGTTGACAACAGCAGTATAAATAATTAGAGGTGTGATTTCCCAGCTTTGTTTTTATTTCAGCCACGTAGACAAAACAAAGGAATGCGACCTTCCGAACTACCCGTCCGGAAAAATGACAATAATGTTTGTGGCGACAGCTGCCGGAGCTGGGCCCATCCTCTCATGTAGCATGTTTTATTTTCTGTTTGAACGATGAGCGCTCTCGCTTTCTCTCTCTCTCTCTCTCTCTCTCTTTCACCTTTCGCGCACCGATAGCTGAATGGGCACTCGGCTCAACACACGAGATGCAAACGTCAATAAGTAGGGACAATTACGTTGGTTGTTGAGGCGATGGAAATTCAGGAGCCTCGACTTGAATGCAAGAACAGGGGCCCCTTCCAGGTCAATGTGAGCCTAGCGGGTGCGATATCATCGGAGTCATTCTTGGCTCGGAAGCCCAAGAGGTCGTCCGGCCTACCGTTTCGTTTTAACCTAGACTTGTAAACTGCATACCTTCTCTCGGGAGCGTCTTCTTTTTTATATACATCGGGTCGAACAATATTTAGTTTGCCTTTGCGGAACGGCTTACGTCATCAGGCGTTTTGATAATGGATGAATATCAGTAATGTGACCATGTGCGTGCCTTCCTCATTGCAGCTGCACTCTTCTCGAGAAAATGAAAACTGGAGACAAGAAGGAGTCATCAAAACAGAGCCCGGCTTCTAATGTCGGAAACTTTTCTGACAACAGATTTTCAAGGTCCTGTTTTAATGACTTGTTGATGGAAGCTCCAGGCATCGATACTTTATTTTGCCGATAATTGTAAAAGGGCAGCCCAAAGGCGGCTTGGAGAACGTGTTTCCACTTTACTTTCATTTTGATTTCTTTTATAAAGTGTCGCAAATATATGTTGCATGCCCTCGGGTAAAAACACACGTAAACCGAGCAACCATCTCCTGATCCATCATTGGTTTATAGAGTTGGTTACCATACGCAAACTCGCATTTTCTTCAGGTAATACTACCATTTTCTGTCCTGTGATTCGGTGACTGCCGTTCGCAAATTTGGCCATTCATCACGTTGAACTAACGAAAATACCACAGCAATTCCACGAATAAAACAATAAATTTAGCTTTTTTCTTGGTATACTGCTCAAAAGTGTGCCCAGAACTGGAGTAACGCTTAATACACAATGATACCGGGGAGCACAGATCTCAAATCTTTCTTTAAGTTCCTTTCACTTTTCTTTCTTTTCCTTCGCTAAGTAATGACTGTCATAACGAAGAAACGAATATCGGTCTTCAATACATTTCGAAACAATCCATTCAGTCTATTAGCCAGTTTAAACTGATTTTGTTCCTTTTTAGCTTTAAATATGTTTGTTAGAATTGTATGTCTATAAACAGGCACATTTTTTCACGTTATGGGGCGAGAGTACCGAAACAGCCACTATGCACAATAACATGCTAAGATAGATGGGTCAATAGGAATATTAAAACCAGCAAGGTATGGTGAACTGGATATTAGCCATGTTCCGGGAAAGTATAAGAATTGGTTGATGTCCAACGGTGGTCTCAAATAGAAACACTCGTGCGCTCATGTTTAGGAACACTTCAAAAGAAGCCAGGTGGTCAAAAATTATCGGCTATCTTCTCCCTTGTGCCTCAGAATCATACAGCCATATTGGCACGTGTATCTAATCGGTATAATCCATTGGGCATGCAGTCTTCTCTGGACTCTAACGCTTGTTTGAGGCCGAGTCGATGCCAAAGTGGGCGCAAAAAAAATTTTACCATAGTACTATGTATCATCTTTGATGATCGCCTTAGCCACGTAAGCTTCATTCCGGATGATCGTTCTTTAATGTTCTATTCTTTCTTTTGTTTTCTATTTTTTCCCAAGGGGCCTTCACATTAGCTACATTCCTCATCTGTTGTGAGCTCAGATGCGGAAAACGAACACCGTCTAGGAGGTGCTGTTGGTTCCCGTGCAAACGTGGTTGGTGGGTATGAAAGCAACGGACTATCCCGAAGAGCTGATGGCACGCTCGAAGTGTTGTGTTTGGGGCTTCGACGGTGCTCGACCGATTTGGCGCATTGCCACAGGAAAAACGGCAATTTTCGCAGCAGCGCGAGGCAGCGAAAACGTAAATAAAGACGGGCACGTGGGTAATGTGCCTGCGGGCTGCCAAAACCGCAGCACGTGGCTATCAGCATCGAAGAAGTGGCACGGGTCAACTGTGCGGACCCTTAAAGGGTTACTTCTTTGCGTACCCCTTATTAGAAACGTAGAATTCGAAACACAATATTTTTAGAAACAAAAGAACTTGAAGCCCCGCTCAGAAGGAAACCTTGCTCCCACCTTCATGTGTGCAAGAACTGTTTGAATCGTTACTGCGGTAAAACAAAAGCGTGTCGGTTTCAGACGACTATAGAACTAAAAGCCGTGGCTGAGTTAGCGTAGCCCAGCTGGACATGGCCTACTATACTTGACCTTATATATGCTCGTGAAAACCTAAACCAAGCCTATGCGCCAGCCAAACAAAGGGCGTATTTAAATCAGATGGGCTAGTGTTGACGAAAACAACTCGCGAAAGCAACTGCTCGTTACACAAGACTGATGCCATGTATAGTATTGGCAAGGCGGGTCGGACAGCCTTAAAGAGCGCTTACGAGAAATAAGTTCAGCAAAGATGTGCGACCGATTGTGCATCGGGCATAAAGCACCTCGCCTCTGGAAAACAGGAAGCCTTCGGGAAGATATATGCTCTAAACCTAAGCTTAATGAAACGAATGATTTTGTAAAAGCCATGTAGAGGCAATGCAAAGTTGTAAGGAAGCACGCCTGGTATTTTTTTATTTATTTAATAATACTGTCAACCCTCCAAGAGGGTCATAACAGAGAGGACAATACAATTACATACATAAAAAATGTACAAGGTACATAAAGTTGCGTAACACTCGGCACTGCACAATGAAAACAGGTATTTCATTAATAACAATTCAGAATTCAAAATAACATTTCAAAATTCACTGACATATTCCAAAATAATGGACATGAGGTCGCTTACATCAAACTCAACAATCTCGTAAGTGTGCCTCTACAGCATTTTCGAAGTCGGTGACATTGTTTAAAACAACAATTGCGTTTGGTAGTTTGTTCCACATTTCTACGACATCCGGGAAGAAAGAATATCGAAACATGTCAGTATTTGTTTGGTATGGTTTTATGACGCAATCGTGGTTAGTTCGGGGATTTATTTTGCCTGGGGGGTGTAAATATTTGAACTTATCAATCTTAAGTTGATCGTGAATTATTTGGAAGAATACCTTCAGCCTATATTTTTTTCTCCGCAGTTCAAGAGTATCTAAGTTGCATCTCTGTAACATCAGCGTGACCGATTCCTTTCTTCGGTATGTTGAACAAATAAAACGCGCCGCCAGTCTTTGTATTCTTTCCAGCTTCTTCTTAAGGGTCGCTTGATGGGGACTCCAAACAACGGCTGAGTATTCTAGTATCGTCCTAATGAAGGTGGTGTATGCAATATGTTTTACGTCACGCGATGCATGTTCCAGTTTTTTCCTCAATATGTACAACTTTTGATAGGCTATCGTGCAAACGTTATCTATATGTTCAGTCCATGACAATTTTCGCGTAATTGTTACCCCGAGATACTTGAACTGTTGCGCATGCACTAACAAGTGTCCACCAATGCTGTACGGAAAGGAATGGATAGTTTTCCTTTTACTGATGTGTGTATATGTAGATTTAGAATAATTTATTGACATTTTCCATTTCCTACACCAATTATCTAACTTTTTCAAACAATTCTGAACTTTCAATTGGTCATCTAACTTGGTAATTGTGGCGTAGATTAGGCAGTCGTCTGCAAAAAGTTTAACTTGGACACCCTCTTCTGCCGCCACACTACTGATGTCATTGATATAGAGGAGAAACAATAGTGGTCCCAATACTGAGCCTTGGGGCACCCCTGAAAGTACAGCTAAAGGATCTGATACATGGCCATCCAGTTTTACTACCTGCGTACGGTTTGTTAAATATGCTTCAATCCATTTTATTACGAGCTCATTTATTCCTGCATTACGTAATTTGAAGATTAATTGGACATGGGGTACTTTATCGAACGCCTTCGCAAAATCCACGCAAACCACATCAACCTGTTGTCTTATATCTACAGCAGCCGCAAAATCATGGATTGTTTCTATTAACTGTGTCACGGTTGATAACCCGGTCCTGAAGCCATGTTGATAAGGATACAGCAAAGTGTTCTGATCTAGGAACCTGAGTATATGTTTTGCTATTATATGTTCGAACAGTTTGCAGGTAACTGAAGTAAGTGACACTGGACGGTAATTTGTAGCCTGTTTTCGGTTGCCTCCTTTAAATACAGGAATGACGAATGCGGTGCGCCAATCTTGTGGCAGTGAGTGCATTGTATATGTTTTTTGAAAGATGATAGTCAGATAATGCGACATCCATTCTGCATATCGCTTGAGGTCCTGCATATCGCTTGAGGTCCTTGAGGTATGAATATGA